GATATTATTTAAACAAACTAAGTACATTGTTATGATATGCAAGGATGCCTCTTCCAAAATGATGAATTTCATAGCCCCAGGGTCAAGGGTTCTTGTGAAAAAGGGGGGGGGGGCTCTATTGTTTATATAGTGAAAAGGCAAAATTTCTTTGATAATATTCCTATCTGCTTCTAGTTAAAAAGCAAAGAATTAAGTGTATAGTTATGATGAGCAAGAGTGCTTCTTCTAGAGTAGTGAATTGCATGACCCCTAGATGGGTCAGATTTGCTGGTGTAAGGGTGGGGCTCTTGATAATATAGTGAAAATGCATTAATTCTATTAAATATTCCTGTCTGCTCCTTAGTTTTATGAGATAAACAAAGTGATTTCTTATGATGAGCAAACTTCTGGTCCCAGGGTGAGAGGCTCTGGTGTTTCTCGGTGGGGAAGGGGGGGGGGCTCTATTGATAATATAGTGAATCTGTAGCAAAAATGCATTATTTCTTTGAAAATCTTCTCTGCACTTGGGCATATCAGAGGCAAAAAGAGTAAAAGTTTTTTTTTTAAAATAAACAGGGTATTTTTACCGGATTTTTGAACATCTGGACCATTTGGTCAAGTGTTCTGGTCCTGGCCAGGGCTCTATTAATTTGTATTCTACTGAGAGGAGTTATTCCCCTTTGTCATTTACTTTTGATAATTAATCACTGTAAATAATGTACTTGAAAGGTTAATAGAATAAAAGAATTATGTAAGAATTTTTATTGTATAATACAAAAAATACTTTCAAAGTTTTAATGATCAGGTAGACTTGTAAGTAATAGATAAATAAAAATGAGACAAAAATAACTTGTCTTTATATTAAATGTTAATCAAAGACCAAGAGAGGCCAATGTAGGAGATTTCAACAAGGAATTAAAATAGTACAGAAGCACTGATAGTTTGTTAATATCTTGTGTGGTAATAGGTGATAAATTTGGAACAGGCTAGAACCTCATTTATGAACTGTTAATGAATACTAGACTAATTATTTTGTTGATCATGATCACCCTATTTTTCTTGCTTTTGGGCAATAAAGCTTCACCTTCAGTTCATTTTATACTCTATGGATCCTCTAAATTGTTGTATTATACTCAGGTGACCGTTAAGGCCCTTGGGCCTCTTGTTAAATTTTATGGCTGTATTTAATATTTTCGGGTACTATTTGGCTTAGAATCATCAAAATCTGTCAGTTGATGCATCGTGGGTCGTCGAAGTAGGTCGACTGAAAAGTAGGTCACCGTGACCTACTTTTCAATTTATATATATAATTAAATATTTCGGGTACTAATTGGGTTAGAATCATCAAACTTTGTCAGTTGATGCATCTTGGGTCTTCGTAGTACTTCGACTGAAAAGTAGGTCACCGTGAAAATTTATGGCTTTATTTAAATATTTCAGGTACTAATTGGCTTAGAATCATCAAACTTTGTCAGTTGATGCATCTTAGGTCCGCAGAGTTAGTCGGCTGAAAAGTAGATCACTTTGACCTTCTTTTGAAATTTTATGGTTATAATTTTAAAAATATTTTAGGTATTAAATGGCTTAGAATCATCAAACTTAGTTGATGCATCTTGGGTCCTCAGAGAATGACAAGTGATAAGTAGGTCACCATGACCTACTCTCCGGTTCTTATTGGCATAGAATAATCTTGGGTTCTCAGAGTGTTTCATCTAAAATGTAGGTCATGATGACCTACCTTTGGAATTTCAAGGGTTTATCTAAATATACAGGATACTTAGAGGCTTCAAATGGAAGTGATAGGTTGTAAAGTTTATCAGAAGAGCGATTCAAGGCCCTTGGGCCTCTTGGGCCTCTTGTTTTAGGTCTCATCCAAAAGACGACTTTCACTTCTAGTGCCGCGAGATTGGCAAAGGAACAGTCACTACCTATGTTTACATCTAAGGTTTGACGCGGCGCTGCGAACGAGAATCAAAACCCGGGCCTCCCGATCACGAAGCGAACGCCCTACCACTAGGCTACCAGGACAAGTCTGGAATACTGACTAATGCTGATAAGATTCATTGATATTCTGATAAGAGAGGTAACTCTTAATGGGATAAACGTCTATTATTCCTTCATAAAATGACTTTTTTTGTCTCATTTTGCCCCACAAGCTATGCTAAAATTGTTCGAATGACCAAATGAAAAATCTGGGTCCCTAAATTTTGGTTAAAATAAATTATTTAAGGTAATCATTTTTACGCCACCAGTAATGTCGTGTCCAGAAGGACAATAGTTGTAGGGTGAAGAAGAAAAACATAAAAATAAAAGATTGTCACTAGTTTTCTTTTTGTAATTAAAAGGTTTGAAAGCAAAATTCGATGTATATTTGTAACATTAATGGACTTCAACTTGAAGTGAAATATGGTTGAATACAAGACTGCATACTTTTTGTACAAGAAAAACATGTATTATTAATATTTATTGCGTCAATTCCTTAGTTGACAAAAAAAATTTAAGGAACAAAGGTTGTTTGAGCAGCATTCTCTTCCGCAAAACATGGCGGTTTAAAAAGCCTAAAATTTGCAATATCCATAATCACAGATCCTAGCCTGTATTCTGGTGTCGAAGAATCCAATTATGGACTTTCCTTGACCCCTTCAAATAGGCCATTTAAAACTTTCAAAGGGACAGCGTAAACTTTGAGTAAAGATTTTAACAACCTTGTTTAAAGCCAACATTTCGTAAATTTTATGGTCTTTATAATGACCTTGTAAACAAATATTACCTATCACTTGGTCGTTTTTTGGCTGACGAGTTTCATACCAATTGTTAAGCCTTTGTTTTATACTAAGGTCGCCTGCGTGGCGTAGTGGTTAGAGCGTTTGCTCTTGCGTAGCGGCGTGGGGAATTGATCCTTACGTCGCGGTTTCGAAACAACTGCGCGACGTAGAGATCGATCCTTCGGATGAGACCGTATAAACCGAGGTTCCGTGTCGCGGTGGGTGCTGTCACAAAAAAGATCCCTCACTGCTCAGTGGCCCTGAGTGCCGAGTACAGTTCAAAATTTGCATCCCCCAACCGGCAAGTGGTGGCGTCTCCATATGAGTGAAAAATTCTCGAGAGGGACGTTAAACAACAAATATTTTATACCAAGTATGACTACGGAATGTTTTGACTACCTGATCAATACATAGGGCTCACGGCGGGTGTGATCGGTCAACAGGGGATACTTACTTCTCCTAGGCACCTGATCCCACCTTTGGAATTTCCGGGGGTCCGTGTTTTATGTCCCGTTCACAGATAAGTATTGTTTGTAGATTTTTTTTCTGAGATCGATCACTGTTCGTTACTTTCACTTTTCTTTATCTTTCTCTCTGTAAAAGTGGCTTCCTTTTCTTTACATCTTGGTTGCTTGGTACGAGTTTTTTTTAGTTGTTTCTCTCTCCTATGATTGACAATGTGTCTTGGGATAACCATTCTGTCTTGACTCATCTCTTGTAGCCTATGACTTCTGCAGCAGCATCATTCATGGTATTGTGAAATCGGTCGATAGTGATAGCTGTTTCATCTTGGAGTGTACTGTATCAGTTCCTGAGCGTGCTATTGATTTCTTCTCTGACGCTCGGGTTTTTCAGCCTGGTAACATGGAATCTCTTTCTGCGCTTACTAGTTCCGATCTTTACTTTCTAAGCTTGAGACTAATCTTTGCTATAATCACGAAGTTGTGGTTACTACCGATAGTTGCTAGGCACAATGTCCCCACGTCCTGCTGAGAATGCCTGCAATTACTGTTGATGATAATGTGATCTATCTGGCTTTTATTGTTTCCATTTGCTAATGTCCAGGTCAGCTTTCAGATGGTTTTATGAGAAAAAAGAGTGTCACGTATGACAAGGTGAAATATGCAGATAACAAACAGTATTAAAGCTAAGTCCATTGAAACAATACAAATCGGGAGCAGATCAAACACGGACCTCCAAAAACATCAGAGATGGGATCAGGTGCCATGAAGGAGTGAGCATCACCTGCCGACCGGTAACACCCGCCGTATGTTCCTTGTGATGATCGGGAAAAAATGGGAAAAAATCCGTAGACATTTCAGTGTGTACATAGTGGGCTAACAATTATTATGAAAAATGTCAGTCAACATTTTAGTTAATGATAGGTTGTATTTGGTCATTGTATCGACCATAAAACTTGTGAAATGATGACTTCAAACGAGACTGTTGATATCCCTGTTTCATCAACTTGTTTGTCAATAGCTTGCCTCGTTTTAGAATTTATTCATTCATAGAGCATGCTTTTACGTATCGAATCAACTGAGAGACAAAAACCCACATGCAGGTTATAAGGGTATATTGCTACATAAGAAAAGTTGACGATTGAAAAATTGAAGTCATCACGATTATCATAAAGCTTGGCTGTTTTCTTGCATTGGAACATATAGGAGAAAAATATTCTCTCCAGAACTACCAAGGCATGATTATTGGTATATATATACAAGCATCGGTGGGATCGGTACCGATTTAAGTTTGTTCAAATCATTGCCTTAAGGGGGAGGGTGGGTCACAATATGGGGTCCAATTTTTTTTTTATAGGAATATAGGAGGATAAAATCCTTTCCTCAAAATCAGCATGGCCAATGTGATTTAGGTAAGCGTAATAGCCGATGGGGCCCTTGTGTCAGTAATAAAGTCATGCCCCCTTTTGAAAAAAGGGGGTCATACTGGTTCATCTTTCGTCGATCGGTTTATCAACTGTTGTCCGATAATACTTGAGTATCCTTTGCTTGACAGTCATCAAGTTAAATTAACTGCCCCCCTCCCCCCAAAGGAGATTACCAATACAGATTTTGAGGTCTCGTGGTCAAAGTTCGTGTCAAACTACTCTGAGCAATATCTGTGATCCCTTTGCTTCAGGGAAAAGGAAGGATCTAGACCATTTCTTGTGTTATTAACTTATTATAGATTAAACTTAAACAATACAAAGATAGATCAGAAATTAATTCTCTATTGAGGGTTATTTTTTTTAATTACCTTTTTCTTTCGTTGTCATTTTGAAAGAAGTTGTCCCAACGGTGGTTAATTTTGTACTCGTTGACTCTGAAAACCAAAAATTATCCAAGAATGATTTTTCCTCTCAAATAGGAACATTATAATGCTTGATGTGAATAATAGTTCCTCAAGGAGAAAATATGGTATTGTTGTATTTTAAATATTGAATAAATCTACCAATATCAAGGGTAATGATAAACATTACCGACAACAGTGACTTTAAGTAGCGTGTGGATTGATGGTCCGTTAGAAACGTAGGCGGTGCAGGTATAGTTTCCTGTGTCGTGGCTTGTGATTTCCTTGATGATCAACTTTCCCAAATTGCCATCTTTCTGAAGAGTGATCTCTACTCTACTATCCTTGCTGACAAATAATTCACCGGTCACATTATTATATTCTGCTAAAAGTGTCCCCGACCTTGTCCATGAGAACTATATATATATATATATATATATATATATATATATATATATATATATATATATATATATATTAGGGATGGCAATTTGTAACCGGTTAACCGATTACTCGGTCGGAACGATGGCAATCGATTAGAAAATCTGTAATCGTTTAATCGGAAAAAAATAAAATATTTGTTATATTGAACACATTTTTTAAAAATTTGTTTTAATAAAAAGAAATCTCTGCACAAAGGATGGTCATTTAAGATTTAACGGATCTAATTTGGACGTACATGTAATTATGAAGCTCCAGATTGAGACCGTAGCGTAATTGGTAAGTTTATAGTGTTAATTACTGTGAAAACACCATGTCGTTACCCCGACTGTCCTGTAATTCTTTAAAGATAATAATTGAATCTTTGAGAATTTTGAATGGGCGTGTTTGTCGTTTTCAGTTTTCCATCCAATTTAATCATTAAACAAACATTGTAAATTAAGGGCTATAGAGTTCACATGTAGTTTTGATTATCATGTGAAAATGTAGATTCTGAAAGAAGTTTTGTGACATCTGCTCTGGAAAATTATCAAAGATTTCTTTGGCTTTTTTCATGGTTTTTCACAATGTTTTCTTGTCTACTGAAATCTGAATAAAAAATATGCACCCTTAGTTTTCTGATCCAGAATCAAGACTAATGGAATGTTTTAACTTCTATCGTCTTATTTGGGTCTATTTGTGTATATGGACAGAGCTACTTGAAAAAAATTGTCAAGAAAACGTGCATTTTGATACGATTAACCGGTTAATCGGTCGGAACGTCTTGCGGTTAACCGATTAGCAATTCTGTAATCGATTGCCATCCCTAATATATATATATATATATATATATATATATATATATATATATATATATATATATATATATATATATATATATATATATATATATATATATATATATATATATATATATAGCTTTTTACCTGAGTAAATGAGGCTGGAAGATTGCATTGAAGTTTAATGGTGTCTCCGATTTGGTATTCTGAAGAAAAAGGGAGTTAAAAGAGAAAAAAATGAACATAGAGTTGAGGATAGGATTTTTCTGAAATGGGTTATGGTTGAAAAATGTTTGGTCAAATGTCTTCATATTTTCTTAGGATCTCTTCAACAAAATAATATTTTTCGATATACTTAAAAGAATTATAGAAAGTAGAAAGAAACAAGATGTGTTTATGAAACACTGATCCCCCCCCCCCCCACATGGCAACTCATGGCGAAGGTTTCTCTAACTCAAAAGTTTCTTAAATTCAAATCAAACTCCAACATCAGGATCAAAAGATAAAAAAAATGTTGGTACCCTAAGAAAGGTCTTGTCACAAGAAATCACCTGTGACATATGAAATTCCTTGCAGTTACCACTGAGAAATTATGGTCAAGACTAAAGTTTTCAAAATGAAGTAGGTCAAACTTCGATCTTTACTTCATGAGGTAAAAAATATTGGTACTTAAGAAAATGTCTTGTCACAAGAAATACACCAATGAAATATGACATACATAGCACCAACCGTTCAAATATTATGGCCAAGGATAAAGTATTTCAAAAGTAGGTCAAAAGGTCACAATAAGTGGTACGCAAGTGTACTCACATGTGAATAGCTATAATCATTCAAAACTTACAGCCAAGGTTCAAGTTTTTATAAAAGTTGGTCATAGCCCAAGGTCAAGGAAAAAGGCAAAAAACATTTTGCACCCAAAGAAAGGTCTTATCATAAGGAATACACATGTGAAGTTTGAAAGTCCTAGCAATCCGTTCAAAAGTTATAGCCAAGGTTAAACTTTGGTAAAATTTTGGAAAAGTAAGTCAACTCCAAGGTCAAGTATGTTGGTACCCGGAGAAAGGTCTTGTTAAAGAAATACACGTGAAATATGAAAGCCAATCAAAAGTTAAGGGCAATGTTAAAGTTTTTACAGACAAACAAACAAACGAATAGACGAAAGGATAGACTTAAAACTATATGCCCATGAATGGTCGATTACGGGGGCATAAAAAAGTTATGGCTTAAGTTAAAGTTTTTCAAAAGTAGGTCAATAAGTCCAAGGTCTTTGATTACGGGTGTATAAATCTTCAGAACAATATCAAGAGGTCTTCCCACCAGAAGATGTAAAGACCTACGAGGGTTGTTTGATATGTAATGTGTATTGCATGATATCTCTTCGGCATTCGACTCGAATAGTGAAATGAACATTACGTCCATTCAAAGCATTCTCCGAGGTTTGAAATACATAATTTAAATTAATTTTCATCTCTGAATCCATTTCTGAAATGCGTCGTGGCACGCTGATTCAAGTAGACCTCTGAGGCACTGACTGATGGCTGAGCCAAGGGCTTGTCAAGACTTGTAACGACGACCAGATAAGAACTTTTTAAGTTTTGGGAAAAGGAACAGTCGCATGGGGCTAAACTAGGAGAATATGGAGGGTGTGGCAAGACGGTAACTAACCTTTCCTGATCGCAACTTCAAAAATTGCTTCGCAAGCTCAGATGTATGCGGTAGAGCATTATCATGAAGTAGACGAACATGAATAAAACCTGACAAAGGGCGTCGTTTATGATAATATTTCTTGAGCTTTTTTATTATAACTTCTCGGTAATACCGACCTGTTACACATTTTCCCTTCCGCACCGGAAATTGTACGGCTATACCATCACATGAGAAGAACCTCCGTTGTGCCTATGGTTCTTTTGGCAACTACAGGTCTTCTGCCGTGTTTAGTTAGCCGTATTTTGTATCCAATTTTTCTGATTGGTCCGAAATAGTGAACCGTTTCGTCACCAGTAACAATGTTTGCAAATTGTCTTTAATTTGATTGAATTTGGTAAATATTTTGAGCAATTGCTTAGCGGTTTGTACTCGTACCCGTTTTTGGTCATCTGTCAATATACGCGGTATCCATTTGGCATAAATCTTTCGTACTTTCAAAATACGCTTCAAAATAAAATGCACCCGGGATGCCGATATGCCAACAGCTTTGGCAATATCACGAATCATGTATCTGCAATCACTTTCAATCATTTCTCTGACTTTTGAGACATTTGCCTTGCCTGTTACAGTCAAAGGTCGGCCAGATTTTGCTGCATCTTTGACGAACTCTGTGCCAGTCAGAAATTTTTCTCAACACACGAACTGTCTCATAAGATACCTTATCAGACCCATAAACTTCCTCCAATTCAGTAAAAATCTGCATGACCGAATGACCGAGTTTTGTGCGAACTTTCATATAAGCTCTAATTTCTTCAATATTCTCAACCCATTTCTCAAGCATTTTTTCCGACAGTGATCAACGACTGGCTCTAATGAAATGACTATAAGCTTAAAAGTATGTGGCGCTGAAGGGTATTTATACCGCTGGATTGTTTAACGCCGAGTCGGCAATATTTCAGCCATATTTCGGTGGTTAAAGTTTACGTTCCGGGTTGAAAGTATTTTTGGTTTCACTGGCGGCCCTCAGTGAGCCTACTCTTTTTCATAAACCAGAGAAACGAACATTTGGGTGCGAAGGGGGTTGTCATCCTTGACAGGGGGCACCATTTAACGCCCCTTCCGACGGACATGTCCGTCGGATGGGACGTTGGAAAGGTATTGAATAGAGCAAGCTTATCATCATCCACTAAATCGTGCAAGGTGCTATACACATTACATATCGAACAGCCCTCGTTATTACTATACTGACAAGCAAAATGATGATTGTCTGAAGTGCTCGACTGAAAAAAGGAAATTGATAATTCTCATGCTTTTTCAGACTGTTCACTTTTAAACTTTCTGCTGAGAAACATTTTGATGAAGAATTGCATAATAAATCGAGATAATTTTTCAAGAAAACAAAAGCACCAAGATATTAAAAAAAACTTTTTTCCAAAATAATATACAAATGTTTGTGGTAAGTTTGTTTCACAGTTGCACTCTTTCTGTTGATTTGCTTGTTTCATGACACTTGTAATTTATCTTTTATCCCCCAAAAGATATTTTCCCCTTCATGTTCTTTCATAAGATTTAACCTTTAAAAAAAGACATCATAAGAATATCGAGTGCTTTGTTGAATCGTAAATTGTAGAATCAAAAGAAGATACCGATTACAAAATGTGGGTGACATGATTTTTCAAGAAATCTCGTCTCATTCGATTCTATATTGACAAATACATTTACATGTATAATTGTATGCAAATAAATTTGATATCTATGGTATCATTTTACAAGAATCACATGGAAAAAGAAGTTGATATTTTGATGGAAATTCAGCAACTTACATGATGAGTTTTCTGATTTTCCTCTTTTTTTAACATACCATTTTAATTAGGGATAACTTATTGAATAAAGATTCAACCTTACATACCTAAAAAGTGAATTAATCCAATGAGTTGCAATGTACGAAAATTATTTGAATCTGAAGATGCTATGCACTGTTTACACAAGACTAAGTGCAGTTAAATTTAGAGTTTACTTGAAAAAATATAGAATTGTCAGTTTGTTCACTTCTTCCTTCGTTGTGTATATATAAAATGTATGTATACATACCTACAGCTTGTGTGTTCGTACAGATCCATAAAACAATCAAACATTCTGTGAAGACCATCCCTTTATCAAGTTAGAAAAAAGTTCAATTATTGTCATACAAATGTGAAGTGAGTTTTATAAGCAGTTTATATTTACTTGATACTTGTTTTCCCTGAATTACTCGCGGGAAACAGTAGTTTGAAACTACTGTAGTTTCAAACAGGAAGAGCTCATTATATAAGTAAAGAGCATGTCACGTACTAGCATTCATGTTTTTCCTCTTTTTTGTGAAAGTGTAATTCCTCTCATACAGATAATAGACACGAGACAAAAATCCCCCCATGTATTTCCCATGCCTAGCATCCCACTGAATTACTACTTTTAACAACTTTCTATCATTAAGGTTTGGACATCACTCTGAGATAGCTAAGGACCAGGGCCGTAATTTCGAAAATTAGCTTCACCGTAAAGGCCCGTAGATTTGAATTATAATACAAGTATTATAATACTTTTGTAGTACAGTACTTTCTGTACAGACGCTAATACAAATTTTATAAGATTGTAAATAAACGTAGATAAAGTCATGTGCTGTTTTCCCTCAATATTTCTCTCAAAACAATTTCGGTGATGTTTGAACCATTTTTTGTTATAAATTCCTTTATATTTTTTTTCAGTTCTCTACCATAAAAGCATAAAATTTGGTATTTTTGCATTTATCTAACTCACTTAAATAAGAGAAAGAAGTTTCTGGTATATATTATAATATTCTTTAAAATTATGGGAATCAGTTCCTAGCAAACTTTTTAATTAGAATTTTTTTTAGTCAAAGCAACAGGTAATATAATAAAATAGTATGCTTAATACATGACCAGCTATACATAAAGAACCATCTGATTGGTTAGGATAAAAGGTCAGCTTAGTTTTGTATTTAGAAATAGAACATTTCTTTATCAAAATTTTATAAGATTCGAAAAATCTTATGATACACTGTATTAAGAGTGTACACACAATAAGATTTTGTAAGTAAGTTTTATAATAGAAATCACCGAGTGTATTGGCCTTAAGGTTTACGACATGTTAGGGACACACGCCTAACTCCTTTTAAAGGACTTATCGCATGATCTTTCAAAAATCGTAATTTTATGAAAAATATTATATACAACCTTGTTTATTAAAATACTGAATAGAATAAACGTTGTTGAAAGCATATTTTAAGAGATATTAGGAGTTGAAATTCAAATATGGCAATATGCATATTTCAGTCGGATTTCGGCGAAATACTGCTCTGACGTCATAGGCGACAATTCAGTGATAGAGAGATGAGAATATGCACACTAATTACGGAGTTATCAACAACAAATGCAGCTTAATTACGAAAAATGCTGAAAAAATTAATGCCTAACGTGCTTCTCAATTACTATAGAAACATTAACTAGTTCTATGGTATAAGGCTTCTGAGAAATTTTCGTTTTTTTATTCCAAACATTTAGAAACTGTAGCTTTGATTACGGCAATGTTTCGTGATCGGGAAATTATCTTTCAAGATCGCCATCCTTTAAAAAAACATATGAAGACTTGCATAAATTAATATTATGTTAAAAATAAAGAACAACAAAGTTATATAGTGTTAAATTTGTGAATCAAATAAGTAAATACGTGTGATAAGATGACAAATCAAATCGTATTCTGATGGCGAGTTTCTTCGTCTTCCTCGCTATCGTCGATGCTATTTAAATACAATGTAAACAGATTTTTCTTGCTGCAATTCTAACATATAAGGTTGGATATTCAATTTCATATCGATAAAATAAGCGATTTGGTCATCCACAACGCAGAAAATTCAGGTTGTATCGCGTATATTTTCGTAAGATTAACGTGGAGCTGATCAGCCATTGTCGCCTTTGACGTCACAGGGTCACGTGATCGCTATCTAATTAACTTGGATTTTTAAATCAGGGGTTTTCATTTGAGTTAATAATTGATTAACTACCGCGATTTATCTGCAGTAAAAACACAAAATTTTAAACTGTGGTCATAAGGAACGTTTTATGCTTTTAATTTCAAATAATTTAGAAACATGCAATAAGTCCTTTAAAAGACCCTCTGGTAAAGGACAAGTAGAGCGCTATAAGTATAACCGCACTCTGATAGACGCGTTTCTTTACTACATTGATTATGTAAAGATGTATAAACACACGAGAAATTGAAAGAATGGATATATTGTGTCGTGCGCAGTTCTTCCCTCTCTCACGCTTGTTTCTTTTAAATTTAATATTTTTGTACATTGTGTATTGTATAACTTTAGTACAGCCACTGATTTACTCATCATAGTGTTTCTCTTACAGTGTAAGCCATGATAGTGGAGTTATTATAGAGAAACGATATACTAGCGTCAATTTCTGTCAAATAGTAAGATTTTTTCAAAAGATATATTGTTGCGTTTGAAAAGGTCAAAATGAGTTGTGTCTTAAGAATGAGTTAGAATCCAAATCTGCAATTTCTTTTATTCATTGGGTCTTGAGATAACAATACATGACTAACAATTATTTATTTCACAGATGTTGTCGACTCTTTGTTTAAGTTGCAATTTTTCAGATATACAATTTTTCAACTTGCAGAGATAGGGAGAAGCTTAAATAGGTATGTACATGTAACCTATATTTTTTGTTCTCTAGTGAGTCAAAAAACTGGTGTTGACGTGATCTATTTATACAGGAAAGATAAACCACGTTTACTTTGAGTCTCTATCAAATACATAATATTAAACAACATGTTCTCAGCTGTTAACATATACGTTGCATTTTACTTCTTTGCTTTATGTAGTAACAAAAAAAAAGTGTGAAAATTTAAAAAAAAGAAATGAATATTATGTTCAGTTAAGGTTATATATCAGGTTAATTACATGAAAACAATTTTAACAATTCTCAATAGTATTATAATATCGAGATCTTTTTTATATATGAAGAGAAAAATTAAAACGTCAAGTGCCTGTGCAAGCATGCGATTTCCTTTTGTTAAGAAATCAAGTATCATTAATATATTGAAATGATAAAAATAAATCACTAAATAAATAATTTTATATTAATATGATCTCTATACAAGATACTGTTTACCTTTATCTTGCGTGCTTTTAATAATCCATAAAGGCAGCAAATTAAACCTCGTAAGCCAACCTCGTGTCAAGTTCTTGAGAAATGCTGTGCAAGTGCGTTTACACCTTTCAATGGATCACGTGTTTTTCAAGATTTCCAGCAGACACAATTTGGGCATTAAGAAAGGGGCGGGGTGGGGGCTAGGAGGCATGGTTGTCGTTAATTTTAAACATAAAATGTACTTTGAAGTATTTCATTGAAGACAAGAAATTTGACGGAAGATTAAAACTTTGAATGTAATGATGTGATTTTGTAAAGGTACTGGAAATGAACTTTTATTTTTCGCTGCCATGAAAATTCTTATTGAGAAGGGGGATTGGTTTTATTAAAATTGTTTAAAGACAAACAAACAGATTAACGGACGCAATTCATTTCCTCGTGAACTCGCATAGATATCTCCATGACGTCAAAAATATAGTGCAACCTTTTTTTTCAAAAAACGCATGACTATTTGGGGCTATTCATTAAGTAAATATTGTAGATATAAGATAGGAATTTTATTTTTGAAAATCCGTGAGGTACGTGAACTACAACGCTTCAAGCCTCCAATATTTATCATGAAACGCTTACGGCCTGAATTTAATTTTTGAAAATTCATAATGTAGAAATTATTGATATGAATATACTGCGGGGTCTTTTATAATTTTCTAAACTTTCTAGTGATCGGTCGCGGTAGCCTAGTGGTAGGGCGTGTGTCACGGAAGGCGTTGGTATGATAAAGAATCTCACTGCCCAATCGTCCTGAGTGCCGAGTATATGCCCTTCACAGGTATTGGTGACGTCTCCGTTGGATTAAAAATTCTCGCAAGGGAGGTAAAACAACAACAATCAATCAATCAACATTCTAGGGCAAAAGTTTTCACCAGCTAGACAAACGAAACACGTAATTATTATATACGATATGACAGTACTACGTATATTCCACAGTAGGAATACAATCAGATCTAAATCAACCATAGGTCTCCGAGGATACACAATAACATCAAAAAATGAACTTTAATACCGGTATGCGTTAAAATTTCAATAAAAAGAATAAAACAAGTAGATTTTGAAGCAAATTTATACTTCTGAACGTTAAGAGCAACTCTCCAAAATCTATAACTCGTCAAAAAGCTTGTGTATAAAACGTAAATAATCTAAGTAAATTCGTGTGCAGTTTTCCCTCAGTATTTCTTTCAAAGCAATTTCTGTGATGTTTAACACCATGACAAGTTGAAGAGCATTAACTGAGGAAACTTCTGTGTAATAATTTTATTAACACTGTTAATAGCATTGTGTTACTTGTAATATTGCTGTGGAAGGTTTTACAAACATGGATTGATCTGTACATTATTGTCGGTTACATCGTTATAGGGCTGGGACGACGCCATTTCTCAAAATGGGGAGGGTGTGGACTTAGATAAAGAGTTAAGAATGGATCTATTGTGCATGTGCAGTTCTTCCCTCTTTCACGTTTGTTTCTTTTAAATTTAATATTTTTGTACATTGTGTATTGTATTACCATAAGTCTGTCCCCCGGTACCAAGGACCTCACTTTTCGCCTCATATCTCAAAATGTATAAATACCTTGGCCTTCAAGCTAGGTTCGATCGATAGATCATTTTTTTTCCCAAACTTCCTGCATTTATTCGAACCCTCGAGTTCAACCGGTGTATTGACACGGCGGCAAATTTAAAGTCTACGGGGATTTAACATGGTAAACTCGTCCATTAGCATCAAGATCACGGGGCAGAAAACCAGTTTATCGAGGGAGTAGTCGTTCTTGCCAAATTAAAATTACAAAAAATCTTAAAAATTCAACGAAAGTAATTCAGTGTGATTTGGTAAATAATATAAGTATTGTTTTGCATTCAAATATATTTTTGACGAGTTTTCTCATAAAATGAGAGAAAATAATCCGAACTCAATGCAGTACAATTTGTGGATATTGAGGTCACGCATTTCCTCTAGAAACGGATGTTGATATATGGTCTGGTGCGTGTTACTTACAGCTTCATCTGTTGAAAACGT